CTGTCAGCCTGTTTGTTTTCTTATATGTTGTCACAGTATTTTCTCCTAACCTAAAATATAGTTATACCCAGGATTATCGGTTCCTCGATATTTCTTTTTGTCTTTTAGTTTTTCCTCTTTCCTTAACTGGTAAAGATGAGTTTATCTCCGCCGAAATCCAATTTGAATGCATTTCTGTGTTCAAATTCATATGGTTTGTCAAGTTTCGTTCTCAATTCCTGGGCATATCGTCTCATATCATTCAATTTTCAACTTTTAAAGGTCTTATTCTAATATTCCATTTCCGATCAGTTGCATATACCATTTCTCCTTGCTTCCAGACATTTTAATGCCATTTATATTAGTTAAGTTGTAAAATAGATGTAATATTTTGATTTTGAATTTAATTGTGTCACTGTCATTTCATTAAACGATAACTGTCAGCGGTCAGTAGAAGTCGCGTTTGAAAGTGCAGTTTCAGTCGATCCGATCCGATTCTAGAGTACCCTGTTTGATGGAACTACTCTGTCGTGTCTATTTGTAAGTAGAGTAAAGTGGTTTAGGAATAAGTTTGTGTGCATAGTTCGTAATTATTGTGTTTTATTGATATTGGATATACAAATGGTATATTTTATGTTGGGATTTGGGCTGATTTAAGGTTTTTATATAAGGAGCGCTCCGATATGTTCGTTTTGCGTTCGTTCTAGGGTTTTGCTTGGATTTATATTGGACGAAGAGTCGATGATATAGGATCCTTGTTATCAATGTTCTGGCAATTGGTCAGAAAAGATCAACTGACTGCCTTTCGGTCATCTTATTGGTTCAGAACTTAATTTCTTCGATTGAGTTCTCGAAGGTGCCGGGGACTGAGTTTTTGAAAAAAAAAAAAAGGTTTTGTGTGTCGAAGTAGCAACGTGGCGAAAATACCGAGAGGTACTTCCAATCCTTGGAAAATTACTAAATTGTGTGGCTTCTGCGCCATCCCTCATACAAGGGGATTTATTTGTGAATTTTTCGAACAGTGAGGCATATTTTGTGGCTGGAAATTGGCTGAGTTTTATTGGAAAGTGTGGAACTTGTGGCAGCCATTTGTCTTACGACGCGGATAATTGAATTGGGGGGCTATCGTGGCCCATCTTGGCATCTGCCGCCGTATACGCTCACCTGCTTGGACCTTTAGGAAATATTTCGTTTTCCCTTTTTCAAAAAAAAAGTAAGTTTTTCTTTTTTTTCCATGAGGTCGCGCCAGTTCTCTTTTATTATAAAGCAAGTCATTTTAGAATAATGTTTTGGGCAATTTGGGTGTTTTATTTAATACCGGTTTTGCTTTTTTTTAAGTAATTTTGATAGCTTGTAGGGCTGTGAATAAATTTTAATGTTGGGAAAAGATTGAGAGATAAGAAAAATTGTTCGTTTTATTTTGAAGTAGCCAGACCTATCCTGACACGGTTTTTCTTGGCTAATTTTAGGGACGACCACCCCACCACCACGACGACCAACACCTGTTTGGTAGAGTTGGTAATTTTTGTATCTATGCAGCTGTGCAGTATTGTTTTGTGTTCTTAGGTTTAAGTTGGTATTATTGTTTTGTCATACTTATGTCATTTTGTCATGTCATGTTGTTGTTCATGTGTCGTTTTGTTGTAAATTATACATGCACCTGTTAAATAAAATAAATCACTCGTCATCTGTGTCTTTATTATATATTATATCAGGTTATGGGACAAGAAGTCACTGTTTGATGTCGAGGAAAATATAGGAATAAAATTTGTTAAATAAAACCTAATTTACGAAAACTAGAAATACATGTGTATAACCTAACCTAAAATTGGCTTCCAACAAAGAACTATTCGAAAAATTTGGAATCGCGCAATTTGATGGAAAAGGGTATGATCACTAGAAATTCCGTATGGAAATTATGTTGGATCAACAAAATGTTATTAGATGCATTAAAGAAGAAAACTTAACACCAAATGAAGAATTTACTAAACTCGATAAGAAGTGCAAAGCTTTAATAATAATGTGCATTGCAAACTCTCAGCTACAATATGTAAAAGATAAGGATAGTGCTTTTCAAATGTGGCAAGCTTTGGAAAAGATTTTTCAAAGAAAAGGTGTAGCCTCACAGTTGTATTTAAGAAAAAAACTTTTGACAATGAAATTAAATGAAGACGAAAATCTTGAAAGCTATTATATCAAATTTGATGAAGTTGTAAGAGAATTAAAATCTGTCGCTACAAAACTAGAAGAAACGGATATAGTTTGTCATCTCTTACTGTCTTTACCGAAAAGTTATGATGCTATTGTAACAGCACTTGAAACCGTGGAACCTGAGAAGTTAACATTAGAATTTGTTAAAGGCAAATTATTAGATCATGAAATGAAAAGAAAACATGATAAGTTTGAATCACCCAATTCGGCAGCCTTTTTTAATGATACAAAAAAAGATTATGGAAGTTTCAAGAAGTCTGGGTCATCTGGAAGTTTTAGACAGCTGAAGTGCCATCATTGTTGCAAGCACATGAAGTGGAAAATAATCATTTATCTGATGAAGAACATGTTACTTTTCCAGTTGTAAATGAAAATACTGGCGAAGTTGAAGCTGCAGGTAAGGTGTTTGTAAAGTGGTATATAGACTCTGCAGCAACTGATCATTTAGTAAATGATATAGATTTTTTTGATAGTGTTGAGGATTTAAAAATTCCTATAAAAATATATGTTGCAAAATCAAAAGAGTTTTTAAGTGCTACAAAGATAGGTAGTATCTTTGTAGCTTTAAAAGACTGTAAAATTCATAAAACAGCAGAAATTAAAAATGTCATTTGTTAAGGATCTACGTCATAATTTGCTGTCTGTTCAGTGTCTGGTTAAACAGGGGTTGAAAGTTACATTTGAAAAAGATAGGGCAGAAATACAAAAAAACTAGTATTAGCTATTGGAAACAAGATAAATAACCTGTTTAAAATTGAATTTGGTATTAATATTACTTTAACTAATTTTTATCAGAGGGCAGAATACTTAAATTAATTTTTTTTTGATAGTGGGATATTTTGATATTGGGATCGTTTGATTGTTTAATCTTTTGATACATTTAATGTTTTTGTTACTTTAATATCCCGTGTTACTTTAATATTTTGATACTTTAATATTTTATGTTACAAACAACCAAAAATTGAAACCAAAAGGAAGACGGTTCACAATTAATGATAAAATTTTTGCTTTATCATTATTTAAGCAAAGTGGTAGAGGGTATACGTTTCTATCTAAATTTTTTAGTTTACCATCAAGAAGAACACTATCCAAATTGCTGGCAAACGTTCCCTTTAATTGCGGGATTAATAAACACATTTTTGATAATTTAAAGCAATGTGCTGAGAAATTAAAAAATTTAGATAGATACTGTGTATTAATGTTCGATGAAATTTCATTAAGTCCGGGGATTTCGTACAATAAAAGCAAAGCAATCTTTGTTGATCACGCTCTAGTTTTAATGTTAAAGGGCATTAAAAAGAAGTGGAAACAACCTGTTGCTTTCTTTTTTGTTCGGGTACCTCGCCAACTTATGATTAAAGAAATTGTGAGACATGTTCATCAGACAGGTTTGGAAATTGTTGCAACAGTATGCGATCAAGGAGCTACAAACAATTCAGCAATTAAAAAATTAAAATTAGAAACTAATGAATTTTGTATCAGAAATAATATTGAAAACAAATATCAAGGGTATCTTGTGGATGGTGTTGAAGTCGTCCATATCTATGATTGCCCTCATTTATTAAAAGGTTTAAGAAATGGACTTCTCAACAAAAATCTGCATTTTACTCAAGATGGAGTACGAAAAGTAGCTTCTTGGTTGCATGTTCTTGATCTTTATAGAATGGAACAAGCGCAGGGCAAATATAGCTTGGTTCCAGATCTAACTGACGAACATGTTCTACCACAGAAAATAAAAAAATGAAAGTAAAATATTATTCCCAAGTATTTAGTTTTACTGTGGCTACTGCTATGAATAGAATGGCTTTGGCAAGCAGACAATTGCCATTAACTTCTCCCCTATATATCGATCCATCAGCAAAGGAAACTGCAGATCTTTTTATGTTTTTGGACGAGTTGTTCGATAGTGTTAACGGTCATTATCTTAATCCTCCTCCCAACAAACATTTGCTGGGCGTGTTGACAGATAAATCGAAACATGTCGAAAAGTGGCGATCGTCAATTTCGGTTTTGAGAACAATGTATTTTGAAGATACGAGTTCCGGCCGTACAGTTACGCCATCGATTAAAAATTTTATTTCTACCCTCCAAAGTTTTATATATTTTTGGTCGAAATTAAAAAGTAAGGGATTAAAATACTTAACAAGAGACTTTAACCAGGATTCTTTAGAAAATGTTTTTTCTTTAATAAGAAGCCATGGAGTTAGAAATGTCAATCCGACTTGTTCTTCATTCATTTCGTCATTTAAATCACTTATAATAAACAATTTATCTTCGACACACTCTCCTGGTGCTAATTGTGAGGAGAATGAACATATGGGGTTGTTAGATAATTTAAAAAATTATATAACGAATTCGAATCAAAGGGAAGAAGCTTTCCAAACACAACCCCCCGTTATTCCGCAGGATCACATTTCTATTATGTTTACGAAAAATTTATATTTTCATTTAACACGTTGAACACCGACGACTAGTTAACAAGTCAGAGGTTTTTCCCTATGACCCAAGACTAGTTTACTAGTCGTTATTTGTATGCATCACTAAGGAAGTTTTGTAAAGTTGGAGCACGTTTTGGGGCTTGAATTTTATGCTTGGTACCCACTGTTGGATCCCTATGATATCAGGACTAGTCTACAAGTCTTCTGTGCAGTTATGCTATTCATTAAAAGATGTCGCCCGGATCAGTGCCGAAATACAGTATAAGAACGTAAATGAACTATTTTACGGTCATGTTATTTAGTCTGTGACAGTCTTGTTCTAGGAAGCTGTTCGTGGGTATTGTGTGGCAGTTTTAATAATATTTACATAAGATGGATGATAGAAATTTACCAGGGTAAGTCGCAGATTTACGTTATAAATAAAAACGTGTAATAAAGTATTATTTTTTGCAGATGTAGTAAAACTTCCAAAATAATTGCAAGGTCAAATCGTAAAAGGCAACTCACTGAAAAAGAATTGCAGTATTTTGCTGATCATCTAAATGAAGAAAAAAGCGATGTTGAAGATGAAGATCCTTTTTCAAGCGACGACTCTCTAAAGGATAAGGACTTCGAACCAAGTGATAAAGATAGTGAAAGCAGCGATTTATATGAAGATGAATTTCAAACTGAAGTTAATTCTGTAGAAAGTGAGGATCATTATTTGTCAAATGATGAGAATGATAATGATGAATTACCTGAGGAACAGGAGTGGCAATCTGACGATGAAGATCTTGTAGACATACCATTCTCAGCTACTGCTGGTATAGATATAAATTTATAGAAGAACTCTAAACCTATAGATTTCTTTCATCTTTTATTTTCGAATGAGATTATTGACATCGTTGTACGAGAAACTAATCGGAGAGCCCAAGAAAAATTAGAAAAAACACGAACAAGAATCAAGGCTAAGAAATTGAATAACTGGAAGGATTTGACAAATTGTGAAATGAAAAAATTTCTTGGGATATGTATCTTACGAGGAAACGTTCAGTTTCCTATACTGTCAACTTGTTGGAGTCGTAAATCAATCTATTATCATCCTGTTTTTGGACGGACAATGTCTAGGAACAGATTTGAAGCAATTTTACAGAATTTGAGATTTGTCGACCATGCAACTATAGATGCAGACGACCGCTTGCACAAAGTCAGACCGATAATAGAACATCTTAGGGAAAATATAAAAAAAAACGATTATTCCCGAAAGGAACCTTTCGTTAGATGAATCTATGATTCCCTGGCGAGGTAGACTGGCCTTTAGGCAATATATACAGAATAAAAGCCATAAGTATGGCATTAAAGTGTATGTGCTTACCACACATGATGGATTTGTGTTAAATTTTATTATATATACAGGAAAGGGAACATTAGTTACTAATGAATCCACACACACCGAACAAGTAGTGAAAGTGCTAATGAAAGATTATGTAGGAAAATGTTACTGGCTTTTTATGGATAATTTTTATAATAGCGTGAAATTGGCCGAAGACTTGATCAAGCGTAAAACATATGTAACTGGAACACTAAGGGAGAACAGAAAAGGAAATCCTAAAGCACTATTCAAGACCAAGCTTAGAAAAAGCAGTCTTCAAAAGAAAAGGCCCTGTTTTGGTGACTTTCTGGAAAGATAAAAGATGTGTTCGAATGATAAGTACAGGGCACAAGCATTCAATGGTTGAGGTGCAAAATAGAAGGGGAAACAAAGTGAAGACACAGTGTGTTATTGATTATAACAAATATATGTCTGGGATAGATCGCTCCGACCAAATGATGGCCTATTATGTATCACCCCGAAAAACTATAAGATGGTATAGAAAAATTTTCTTCCATCTCATAGACATATCGATATGGAATGCCCATTACCTATACCGTAAAACAAAAGACGATAAATGTAGATTGTTATCTTTCCGGGAAAATATAGTTACTGCCCTAATTGGTGATGATGCTGCCACAGACCAGAAAGAACAAGTCCAAAATGACAATGACTTAGTTCAGCATTACATAAAACCCATACCAGACACGAAAAAAAATAAAAATGTAATGAGGAGGTGCAAAAATTGCACAAAAAAATCCATAAGGAAACAGTCGAGGTATATGTGTCATTTGTGTCCAGAATCACCAAGTCTTTGCGTTTACCCCTGCTTCATGGAATGGCACAAAAAATAAAATTTATTTTGGTAGAATTGACATAATTATTTTTTATATACTTAGGATTTCTTTTATTTATAATTTTTTTATGTGAATTTTTTTATTATTGTTTACGCTTTCTCTGTTACAAATGCATTAAATTCTGTGTTCTTTATCGACTGTTTTTTATTAAATAAAAGGTATTTTCAAATTCATCATGTTTCATTAAATATAACAGAGACTAGTTTACTAGTAATCGGGGTATTTCATTGGAATTCCTTTGCATACCCCGACGACCAGTTAATTAGTCTCTTTCAAAATGGCGTTGAATTTACAAAAAAACATTTTTATAAACAAATTACATCAAATACCAAAGTCAGATCATCATTAAATTTGATTTTCTTCGTTGGGGTGCAGGGCAGTACCAGAAAATTTGCGTCGGTGTTCAACGTGTTAACAAACAAATAAACTTTATACAACAACAACAACAACAAAATAATATCACCGCAATTTACCTTTAGACTACTGCTAATAAGATGGCAAGTAAATCTACAGCTTTAAATCTCCTTCCAGGCGATGCTGAGACACCCGAGATTAAATCTGCCCCAGCAGTTTCTCTTGACACTGATTTCTTCAACCTAGTGACTTATTTACAATCGACGTTCAATCAGATTTTATATTTCCAATCTATTATGGGCACTTTAACTCCCATGTAAACCTTCCAGAACAATTTGTATCCAGAAACCCATATATAACACCTTTTAGCCTTACCGGCTTTAGAATGACCCTACTGTATGTTGGTTATTTATACAACGATTTAGTAAACCGCAATGAACCGTCTAATTCGGCCCAGCCCTTCTTAGAGAAACATCATTGAAAGCACTTTTACGAAAGTTGCCTAGAATTTTCTGTACCTCCAGACACTGAACGGCTACTATACAAACTATCCGCAAAAACGGATCCTTCACGCCCGAACTGCCAGTACGTACCTACGTTAGCAGCATTCCTATTTGACCATGATTTTGGTAGAGCCTTCCCCGCTGCCTTATTCTTTAGAATTCATGACATATTGTCACAAATTCGACAGAAGTCTGACCCTGATAGCATTATTAAACTATTAATGGATTCTCCAATAATTGACGTTAATGGAATTTATACCATCTCCAACTACCTAGGAGACGTATATTATTAACAAAATGGTCCTACCCTACACTATAATTGGCTAAACGCATTTTTCCGCGATAGCATATATAGAACTACCGGCGAGATATTATCCCAAAAATCAACTCTCAAAAAAATCAAACTTTGTAAGCCATAATGCTTACCCAAATGGCTACCTTTTTGCTCTGGGAGTAAACCAAGCTAACCTTAGTTCATTCTCTAAAGCGCTTAAGCAAATTAACCTGTTCATTACTGAAACATGGCCAAATGCAAAGACTTTAAAAGTAGTCCTTTCTCAAAGTTCCGGCAAGTATGCTAGCTCTACTAGTATTACTAACGCAACAGTCCTTAGCGAAGTTGAGTATGCAAAGCAATGTAAAATCCTTCACAAAGCTGCTACTTACAACCAAAGCATAGGACCTACAGCCACGAAACCAACCCCCGACCCCACAACTGAGGATGATCCTCTATCAGAAGATCCTGACCTCCCCGACTATACCGGACCTCTTATTATCATAAGAGACACTCCCTACAGTGAAAAACTGAGCCCCTTCTCACATGAAGAATTCAGTAAAAAGTTGCACGTCCATTCCGACGTTTTTTTGTTCCAACTAAGATTACGTAGAGAATCAATGATTTCGCTATCCATGTACCTTGGAATTAAAATCGAACAAGGCAATCTCGATGGTGTATTTATACCCACCTATAATTCTAGATTATCCCTTTCCGATAACAGTATCTACCTTAGTGACACGCTACCCATAGACTGTATCCGCAAAATCCATCTCAACCCGAATGGAACACACATTTACAGAATGATCCACTGCAAAGTCCACGATATAGATAATCAACCACAATCCCTCACCATGCGTGACGCAATTTTCGTTATCCAGCCTCAATTTGCTACAACGAACCTTCGATCCCGTACTCCTCAAGTGAAAGGAGCTGTACCCACTCCACTATTCAATAGTGCTAAAAGTGGCTTCACATTTTCAGCTTTTCCACTAGATGAGACTCCAACAATTCCAAAGAACTACGTCTTTTTATGGTCTAGTTATAGACATATTAAAGACAGACGTCTACCTAAAAGTAAAGTGTTCTACACTACGCTTAACCCCAGCTACGGACAGAGTACCCTGCTTCACAAGACAAACAATCCATGCAAGCTCATCCCTGATTCAGACTGCTTCTAGATTACCCCATTCCGCTGATTTCCAGCCTAGTATTTCTTTTAGTTATAAAATTTCTAAAACGTTTTCCTTATTAAACTCATTTCAATGACTTATTTAAATAGTATTTAAATTAAGAAAATAAAAAAAAATTAAACAAAAAAATCCTTAAAAGACCACAATGATGGTGGGTGAGGTTTTCCGGGTTTTCCTCACCTATAAGTCAAATGCCACCATCGCCCCGGAGCGCCACGGCAAATAATAATAATAGCCGTCCCTTTCCCCGCACAAGCTCAGCTTTTGGGGTTAAAATTCACTCGTAAGGGGGTGAATTAGGGAGAGTATTATTATATTATTATTATTATTATTATTATTATTATTATTATTATTATTATTATTAATATTATTATTATTATTATTATTATTATTATTAATAGGAAATTAGATTTAGCAACGCCCTATGTGGCAGGAGCAATAGGCCGTAAAATAAAAATTATTAAATGTTCTAGGTGTGCTGATTTATTAAATTCAAATGTTTCTTTGCCGCAAAATGCATTAATCAACGATAGACAGTACCAGGGTTGTACTTTAATTCAGCCATCAGAAACATTTATTAATGCTTTTTATTATTTCACAGAAAATACATTTGTACTTCTGCCAGGTTTATGTAATTCATTTAATTAAAAAAAAATTAATTGAAAAGTTAGATAAATCTAATATTGATAACTTAATTTGCCCAGAGCATTTAAATCAATTTAATGACTTTATTAGATAAAATGTTAAATTTAATAATTTTCCATTTTTTCACGATTATTAACAGAATTCTTAAATGAAAAGATTTAAGGTTCAAAGATTCCAATTATTTAACAAAATTAGCGTTTGAGAAATTATCAAAAAGAAGAAGATTGTAGGTAGCTATTAAATATTATCACTACTTGATAATGGAGTGTTTAAAAATATAAACTAACTTGAAATTTTAATTTGTAAATTTTTTGTGTTACTTTTATGTATAAATTTTAGGAATTTTTTGTGTAACTTTAATGTATAAATTTTAGGAATTTTTTGTGTAACTTTTATGTATACATTTTAGGAATTTTTTGTGTAACTTTTATGTATAAATTTAATGAATATTTTGTGTAACTTTTATGTATAAATTTGATGAATTTTTTGTGTAACTTTATGTATGAATTTTATGATTTTTTTGTGTAACATTTATGTATAAATTTGATGGAATGTTTGCTTCAAATAAAATCGTTTTTTTTTTTATATTTTTCGTATTATTTTAAAACTATATCATTATTTAATTGATTTTTTAATTCATAATTTATTTAACAAAGCTGACTATTAGATAATTTAATATATATTTTAAATCTTATTGTTGAATTTGTTAAATAAATTTATAATTAAAAAATTAATTAAATAATTCCAGTATTTATAATTTTCGAAAAAAATTAGGTAGGTATTTTCAAATTTACGCGCCAATATAATTACAGTTGTCTGTATATTTCCTAAAACTATGAAGAAACTTACTGTCAACGCAACCAGGTGGCGACACATTACATATTAAATTTGAGGGGTGAACACAAAACACGAGAGTTTCCGATCTATAGTATGTATGATCTGTGAGTACGTCTGTGAATCACATACTTTGATTTTCTTTTACTATACGGAGAATGGTCGCACTGCGAAGCTTTCTGAGTGGCTTTTAAAAGGAGATAGAAAACTCCGCCATTTTTATCCCTTATTACGTGTTGCCTACAACTTGGCGCAATATTTTTAATAGGTGCGTTTTAATCATCCGCTTCTGCTTCGGAATTGTCGGTTTTCTTGTTTTAATCTGACAGGTTAAAACGACTAAACCGACAATTCCGGAAGCAGAAGCGGATGATTAAAACGCACATGATATTTTACTTGCTGCTGTCAGTGAATATTATTTTTGGAGTCACAGTTTATTGCTAAAGAATCAGTTAGCTCACTCGGACCAGTTGAAAGTTCCAAAATAACATCCACTCCAGGGATACAAATTCAGTATACGCAGAAGACTGCTGTTTTATTACAGGTGGTTGTCTTATATTGTATTATCCGAGTTGCGCAGTGTATACCGACGCAGAGTGAGCGGTCTGATTCTTTAGCTATAAACTGTGGCATAGGAATTAAAATGGCCGCGCCCTATGTTGGGCGTGTCGGACCTCTCTCTTGCACCATATAGTAATCAAAGTATGTGCTGTGAATGTTAACGCGGCAGGTAGTATGGAGTAAGGGTCTGGACTAAAATAAATTTATTAGTTTTTGGTGTGAATTTTAATTTAGTACATTGTTTTAGTGATGGCTCCTGGAAGGCAAAGCTGTGCGGCTGTTGGTTGTACAAACAACTATAATAATAGTTCACACAGCTTCTTTGTTTTTCCTAGGAAATATCAAAATAGGTACGTTATTTGGAATATTTCCCTCGCAGTCGCTGCCACTTTACCGCAGAATTTTCTATATTTTTAGGGCACATGCGTGGGCTGTTGCAGTTAGCAGACGACCTAGCAAATAACTTCCCAATTAAAGGTTTATTATGTGGGTCCCATTTTGAAGGTCGTATGTTTGCCACTAAGAAAATAAAACAGATTAAGAAAGTACGCTGTGCCTACGATATTTTCGTCAGTTGTAAGCCAAGGAATGAATACATGTCAAGGTGCAAAACATTTTTATTTTACACAATCAGTTAAATTAGAATTTACAAGTGTAAATGTACTTTTAGATATGACATCGACACAAATTTTGGCAGAAAAAAACATGCAATTTTCTGAAAACATATGTGGTAATGAAGTGCCGCTGGGAAATCCAATAGTTTCATTTGCAGGTAGGTTCATAATGTGTCATATTAAAACGATTTAATTTACTTAATTGAAAAAAAAATGTTTTAGAATCTTCTACACACACAACTCCTAAATTGCATGATTCAAGTATTCAAACTTCTTCTGCACTGACTGCTAGAACACCCAGAAAAGATAACCTTAGAAGGAAACTAACAAGGGTCTTGTATGATAATGATATGCCACATTAAAATTTCAGCTGGATTTAGTAATGACTTCATCTTTCGAAGTATACAAAAAAAGTAAGTGAATTCCGTGATATTGACAAACTTTGTGTCGATGAAATGAATATAAAAGCAAATTTATTTTATAATCTTGACGTTGATAAAATAATTGGATTTGAGGATTTTGGAAACGGTCAAAGAAACTTTAAGCCAGCCTTAAGTGTGGCCGTGATAATGGCTAGGGGTCTTACCAAAAAGTGGAAGCAGCCTATAGGAGTTGTTTTCTTAAATTCTATGTGCAGTTAAAAGAAATTATTTGCAATGTTGTATCCCGTTTACATCGAATCGATTTAAAAGTAACCGGTATCGTTTCTGATATGGGAACAAATAATATACAGATGTCGAAGTTATTGGGCGTAACTTCTGAATGTCCATACTTTTATCACGAAGATAACAAAATTGTGTACTCGTTTGACACCCCCCACTTACTTAAATTGGTACGAAACAATTTGTTAAAACATCGATTTGAAATAGACGGGAATATCGTTTCATGAGATCAAAAGTACTCAGGGCAGTACCAAAACTAACCGAGTCATATAAAACAACATCTTCATTATAACCCCTACAAGATGGTTGTCGTCCAAGAATTAAAACCTCGTGATTTTGAAGACAGAGCACGCACTAGTGAAAATATGCTTGCTGCATTGCCTCGAGACGTAATCGTTTTCTTCCCTGACGAGGCCCATTTTCACCTCATTGGATGTGTTAATAAACAAAATATGCGGTATTACAGTGACACAAATTCCAAGGAGCTTCACCAGAGGCCCTTGCACTCCGACAGGGTGACAGTATGGTGTGCAATTTCAAGAACTGGGATCATCGGCCCTTTCTTTTTTGAAGAAAATAATCGAGCGGTTTCCGTCACTTCTGCACGTTACCTGGCCATGCTCCAGGAATTTTTTTTTGCCTCAGTTGGAAGCGGTGGAGCTGGAAGACGTCTGGTTTCAGCAGGACGGAGCCATAGCCCACACAGCAAGGATTTACATGGACTTATTGCGAGACAGATTTCCCGGGCGCCTCATCTCTCTAAGAGGCGATTTGATCTGGCCAGCGCGCTCTCCTGATTTGGCACCTTGTGATTTTTTCCTGTGGGGATACCTGAAATCCAAGGTTTATAACGATCGTCCTAGGACCCTGGAAGCCCTCAAAATCAACATTCGAGCTCAAATCGCCGAAATTCCTGTGGAAATGCTTGAAAGAGTACACGAATCCTTTAGAAAAAGACTTGCTCAATGTTTGGAGTGTGAGGGGTGCCATTTAGGCGATACTTTGTTTAAAACCTAAACTTCCCATGTTAATAAAAAAGGAAATAATAAAAAAATTAGAGATTTTTTAAGAGTCTGCGTTTTATTTCATTTCAAAATCCATACGTCTGCCACGCGCCACCCTGTATTTAGCAATTCCGTAGCAGCAGCACTTAATGTCTATATAAGGTTTGGAAAACTTCCACAAAACGCTTGTACTACGCAGCAGTTCATTAGTACTATGATCAATTTATTTGATATTTTAAATTCATCAAATATTATCGAAGCTACTGAATATCAACATGCTTATAAAGGAAGCGATCATCAGCAAAATTTTCTTCAAGAGTACTTTAACACATTTAATAAATTAATTGTTCGCAAGTGGAAGGGTGAGAATATCACAAAAGCTGTCAAATGCATCCAAGGTTGGAAAATCACTATCAATGGCTTTATGCACTTGTGGAATATTTTGAAGAGTGAAGAAATGGAATTTTTATTTGCAAGAAGGGTACAAGATTGCCTAGAAAACTTTTTTGGTTCTGTAAGGCAAGAAAATGGGAACTGCGTTAACCCAACTCCTATTCAGTTTATAAGAGCTTTAGAAAATTGTTCTGCATCAAACTTCTTAATTCTGGATATGAAAATTGCGAGGAAGATGCGTCCAACATTCTTTTAAGAATCATTGATATTTCAAA